CATAGCTGAATATATGGTTAGGAGACAGAAGAGGTAGTTTACTGGGAGCACGACCTGAAAGGGTATGTCTTTCTCCCTGGCTCCTCCCTTCTCCCTCTGCCTCCTGGCTGCCAGGATGTGAGCAGCTTTCCTCTGCCAGACCCTTCCACTATGCTCTTCCTGCCTTGAAGTCAGCTGACTGTGGTCTGAATCCTCAAAAGACAATGAGCCCAGGGCTGGGGATTTAGCTCAGTGGTTCCACTGCCTGCCCTGCAAGCGCAAGGTTCCGAGTTCGATCCCTGGTACCAAAAACAGAAAAACAATAGTGATGAGGAAAGTAAGACAGACCACTACCATATATGTATGCATGTGTTTTTTTTGGTACCAGGGATTGAACTCGGGACCTTGCACTTGAGAGCCATGCAGCGCCACTGAGCTAAATCCCTGGCCCCTGTATGCATGTATTTTAAGGAGTTGGCTTTTGTGCTTGCTGAGGCTGACTAGGCAAGTTTGAAATCTGTAGAGCTCTCAGGCTGGAATGTCTTGGGCAGGAGCTAAAAACAGCAGCAGTCCATGGTGACGCAGACCTGTAATCCCACCACTTGGGAGGCTGAGGCAGGAGGATCACCTTGAGTTCAAGGACAGCCTGGATTACATAGTGAGTTCAAGGCCACCCTGAACTACATATCGAGACCCTGTCTCAAAAAACATAAATAAATAAATAAATAAATGCAGCAATTGATTTTTTTCCTCCACACAGAAAACCTATTTTATTCTTCAATCCTTTAATAAACTAATTGGACAGGACCCACTCAGATTATTGAGGATAATGTCCTTTATTTAATTAAAGTCAATTTGTAGTAGAAGTTACTCACATCTACAAAATACCTTCACAGCAACACCTAGGTTAGTGTTTGATTAAATAACTGGGTACTATAGCCTAGTCAAGTTGGCACATAAAACTAACTGTCACTTAATTGCTGTGAGTCTTAATTTCCTCAGCTATAAAATTGAGATATTGATCCTTACTTGTTTGTATATGAAAATGTGAGTAATGTAGAGCTTCACATACAACAAAACATAGTGTTTAACATGTGATAGCAGCTTAGCTTACAGGAATCAGAAGGCCTTTACAGCAGGTTAAACAGGGTTTGGTTTGGATAAGAACATATATACCTTTGATTTAGCATTTTTTGAGTAAGAGTAATGTATTTGTTTTATTTGCTTTTTCTTAAAAGATGAGCTCTTGTTAGTTGCAGTGCTGCACATTATAATCCTAGCACTTGGGAAGCTGAGGGAGTATGGTTGCAAGTTTGAGGTCAGCCTGAGCTACTTAATGAGATCCTGTCTCAAAAAACGAAAGAAAAAACCCCCCAAAATAACAACAGCAACAAAATTAAACAGAACAAGAACCCACGCATGGTTGTGCATGGCTGTAATCCTAGTACTGTGTGAGGGTGAAGCAGAAAGACCATAAGTTTGAGCTCATGTTGCTCCTGGGCAACACAGTGACTTAGAGACCTTGTCTCAGTGCAAAGGCCCTGAGTAGTTGAATCCCTAGTATCCCAGCCCCCCAACACACACAGAGACAGAGAGACAGGGTATTGGGATGTGGCTGTAGCTCCATAGTAGAGCCCTTGCCTAGCATGCTTATGGTTGTCGGTTGGATACCCACACACTATCCCACCCAGGCTGGGGGAGGGAAGAGGAATGTTTCTCACTATCTTGCCCATGCTAACCCCAAACTCCTGGGTTAAAGTGATCATCTTGCCTCAGCCTCTTGAGTAGTCACATGCATGCACACACACACACACACTTACTTTTTATTACACTCACAGTTTCTGTTCTCCCACACCCTGTTTAAAAATCTTATTTATTTATTCTTTCAGTCTTGCAGTTCTGGGGAATTGAACCCAGGGCTTCATGCATGTTAGGCAAGTACTCTATTACTGAGCTACATTCCCAGCCCTTTCCTTTTTAAATTTAACAGAATGTCTTGGAAAATATTCTATTTTAGCATATACAGATCTATTTATTTTTTTATTTTTAATTTTAATTTTTTCAGATCTATTTATTTTTAATCATGGCTGCGTAGGGTTCCGTTGTGTGATTGAACAATAATTTACCTATTTTAACACATCTCTAACTGATAATCATTTGTATTACTAACATTTTTTGTTATTATAAATAATAGAGAAAACATCTTTGTACAATGTGTAAGAATAGCTGTGAGATAAATTTCTAGAACTCAAAGTGCTGCATTAAAGGGTTTGCACATTTGGAAAGTCAATAAACAGTACCAATATGTCTTTCAAAGTGATTGGAATAGTTTACTTCCCACCAGTAGTATAGAGTGCTTATTTCCCTCTGTCGATATTGCCATTTTGGATTTAAACCTACTTGTTTACCTTTAGAGTACAAAAATGCACACTACAGCAACAACAACAACAATAGCAGGAGGCATTGGGGATGTGGCTTTCAGCAGTAGAGCACTTATCTAACGTGAGTGAGGCACTGGATTCAATTCCTAGCGCTGCAAAAAAAAACTTTTTAAAAGTAAAAATAAAAGTTAAAAATTTAAAATAAACCAGGCATCATAATGATCCTTTTTCTTTTTTTTTTTTTTTTGGTACCAGGGATCGAACTCGGGTCCTTGCGCTTGAGCAGTAATGATCCTTTTTCTGGGTAAGAGCTACAGTTTTGTTTGGATTTTTTCTTTCTGGTCGCTGAGCTGGGCCTTCTGCCCATCCTGTGGTTTCCACTCTGAGAGGTTGGAGCCGGTGACCTGACCACAGGACTCAACCAGAATAGCACCAGGCAAGAGATTGAGACAGACAAAGCTGGTGCCCTGCCTGATGATGGAAGTGGAAACAAGCCAAGTTCTATAATAGAACATAGAGCCATTGTCGGGAAACCACAAATTGCTGACTTGCTCCTGCAAACAGTCGATATTCAGGAGCTGAGTCCAGGAATTCTAAAGATGCAGCCTGTGTAAACAGCTGAGTTAGGGGGAGGACTCACTTTTTAAAAGAACCCAGAGCAGGGTGGGGGATTTAGCTCAGTGGTTCCACCGCCTGCCTTGCAAGATCCGCGGTACCAAAAAAAAGACAAAAGACAAAAAAAAAAAAAAAAGAACCCAGAGCTAACAGCCGTGAAAACTTCCTAGCAATCGCCCTGTGGCCCCTTAGGTCCTCCCTCGGATGATCCCAGACTCCTAGGCTACCAGAGCTGGGGTGGAAATGGGACATTGTGCCACACCAGGAGAGTTCAGGTAAAGAGCCAAGGGAGTTTCAAGAAGCAAGTGCTCACTTCCAGGGGGACAATACAGGGCAATGGTTAGTAGCTGTACTTGGGCTCAAATCCTGACTCAATCACTTGCCAACTTTCTGATCTTACACATATTCCTTCACCTCCCTTAGCCTGTTTCCTCATTTATGCAGATAATAACACTTATCTCAGAAGATCTTTGAGAGAATCAATTGACTGAGTATGTTTGTAAACAACTTAGCACAGTACCTGGCTCTTGGTAATGGCTTAATGTGTCATTGTTATTAATATTATTATTAATAATAACAACAGTGGCTCAGGAAGGGAAATAAGGGAATTTGTGCCTGGAGCAAGGGCTCTTTGGGCTAGATCTTGAATAATTGGGAAGATTTGACACACTGGAATGAATTAAGAAAATGAATAAAGTTCATGGGGAAAGATTCTCATATACCTTCCTGGGCCTGACCAGGAGATGTTGCTGGGGCCTCAGTGATAGAAAAGAATGGGGGATACAGGCAGGTGATTATCCCACTGTGGAACGTATGCCATAATCCTAGCTTGAATGGTATCCACAATAGCATTGATATTTACAGTTGAAATTGTAGTAAATAGGGTTGAGTACTGTATTAGTCACCTTCCCTGTTGTTGGGACAAACTTCCCAATACCCACAGTTTAAAGGAGGGGAGGTTCATTTAGTTCATGGTTTCAGAGGATTCAGTCCACAGTCAGCTAACTCCAAGATAAGGCACAGCATGGTGGAAGAGTGTGATATAACAAAACTGCTTAGGCCAAATGTGGTGGTGCATACCTGTCATCCCAGCACTTGGGAGGCTGAGGCAGGAGAAGCACAGTGAATCTGAGGCCAGCCTGGTCTACATAGTGAGTTTAAGACCAGCCTGAACTACACAATGAGACCCTGTCTCTAAACCAAAAAACCAAACAAAGCTGTTTAGTTCATGGTGTCTGGGAAGCAGAGCAGAGATAGAGCACCAGAGAGGAAGGGGAAAGGGACCAGATGTAGACCTCAGAATAACACCTCTAGCACCCACCCAGACACATCCAGAAGTATGCTTAACTAATCTCCTGGGCAGATCCCAAAGCCATCAAATTGACAACCCAGCTTAATCACCACAGGTGCAGAAGCAGGAGTTTCTTTGCACTCTCACTAAGAGCCCCTTTTGAGAAAATGTGAGCCCCTGGGTCTTTAGGTTAGTATGAAGTAGTATCATACATTGTACTTGGCCAACTGAGTTCAGTGGGGAATATTTTAATCAAATTGTCTATGTCTCAAATACTCTTTTTCCCAGTCTTTCACTGCAACATGATACAATCTTCTCCCAATGTCCAACTCTATCCCTTCATTACTGTAGTGCTATGGACTAAATACTTATGTCTTTCAAAAATTCATGTGTTAAAATCTTAATCTCCAAAGTGGTGGCATTTAGAGATGGGCTTTTGAGAGGTAATGAAGTTATAGAGTGGAGCCCACACGATGGGATTAGTGGATTAGTATTGTTTGAAAACCTAGAAGTGGGCCCTCATCAGACACAGGATCTGTCAGCACTGTGATCTTGAACTTCCCAGTTTCCAGAACTGTGAGAAATATGGACATCTATGTAGACTGCTTAGAATTCCAACCCCCAAAACATACCCAAAGAGACAGGTGGTCTGCCTGGGTCAGGTGTATTTTTCTATGATATTTTTTATATAGCAGCCCAAACTGTCTAAGAGAACATTTATTCTCTTATTACAGAGGAAAGTGTAGAAGTGGCCCAGGACACAGAACTCCATGAAGCCAGCCATCCAGATTCCTCCTCATTGCAGCTCTGCCATCCTCAGGTTGTGGACTTCATATCCTGTCCATGATGACTGGTTCTGCTACACGTCTACTATTCCAGCCAGCAGAAAGAAGGAAGAGATGAAGAAGGGCACATATGCCAGCAGTTACCTACTGTTGCAGTGTAGATCTAAAATGCCCCCCAAAGCTTCATGTGTTTGGATGACTCAAGGGGGTGCATCCAGCGGATGACTTCAGCAGCTGAGGGAGCTGTTGGGAGGTAAGGCCTGGTAGGAAGAGGCAGCTCACTCGAGATGTGACCTGGAAGGATTTTCTCTCCCTGGTTCCTCCCTTCACTATCTGCTTCCTGGTCACCATGATGTGAGCAGCTTTCCTCCGTGGCAGGCCCTTCCACCAATGCCGTTTCTACCTTTGAGCCTGCTGAGCATGAACAGAAACTTCTGAAGCTGAGCCAAAGTAAACCTTTCCTCCTTTAAGTTGTGACTGTCAGGTATTGTGTCTCAGTGATGAGGAAAGTGACTAAGACACCCACACCGCTTCTTCAGTCATGTGGCCATTCCTAGCTGAAAGGGTGTTGCAAGATATGGTCCTTCTTTTGGGTGGCCCAGTGCCTGTTTAAAATTTGTAAGTTTCTGTTACTGAAAGAAATGGATTGTAGCAGCTTCTTTTATAATCAGTTTACCATCTATTATCTTTGGGGAATGGATATTCTAGGCCAGAAGGTAAGATCATTTCCTTATGGGAAGACAAGTCTCTCCTTTAAGGGGGCGATGATTTCTCTGTGACAATTTTGAGAGAAGAGTTGATTACAATAGAGAATATCATTGTGAAAAATACACCTGACCCAGGCAAGCGAAAGACCAGCTGTCTCTTTGGGTATGTTTGGGGGGTTGGAATTCTGAGGAGTCTACATGGACTGCACAGGACTTTTGGGTGGAGGTGGAAAATGGCCTGGGATTCACACACAGCATGTAGTGGACAGGGAGTCCTCCCACAGGGTACTGCAGGCTGAAGAGGACCAGTCTTTTCCTTATGAAGACATTCTAGTTTATGTTGTTCTTAATGTTTCTTTCCATTTGGCTATGTCTGATCCCTAGGGAATGTTGTGTTGACTGTCCAAGTCTGGTCACAGCTGTCCCATGTGGAATTATGAGGAACAGAGGTGGGTGAGATTAGGAGGCAACATATGTGCTGGACGTTAAAGGGCAAATGGAATTTGCTAGAGCCAGAAATTAAGGGAGGTCATTCCAGGAAAGCAGTCTCAGCAAAGCAGGGTGTGGCTCCATCAGGGCAGGCCCCTTTGCTGTTATGTAATTGCCATGTGATGATGAAGGGCACATAACTGCACAGACTGGTTCCCCTATATTCTACCTTGGCTGTCTTTACTCCCTCAACAATGCCCAGCATCTCTATTGTGGGGGCAGTTACTTAGAGGGAGGGTATGGCTCCAATTTGTTATTGTATCTATCACCAGTGCCAAATTACAGTGAGTAACTTGAATGAACATAATATATAAACTCTTTGTAATTTGAGCCCTCCTCCTCTCCTTCCCCTCCCTTCCCCCTTCTCCTTCTCCTTCTTCTTCCTCTTCTTCTCTTCCTCCTCCCCTGCTCGCCCACTGAGCTGCTTCCCCAGCCCACAGAATACTTTTTAAAGCTAATTATCTTGAGCCTAGACTGTCTACAGAGAATTATAGTAATACAGATGATTACTGTTCATTGAATAGGTAACAGGCAGGCACCACCATTTACATATACTGATTCATCTACTCCCCACAGAACCTAATCAGGTAAATATATTTATTACCCTCGTTTGTGTAATGAGGAAGTTAGGCTCAGAGAGGTGAAATAATTTGCCGAAGGTCACACAGCCAGCTAATGGTAGAGTGAGGAGTAAAAGCCAGGCAGTCTGCCTAGACTGTTAGCTGCTCCAAGCACTCCTCTTCAACTCCTGTTGGGGTTGGCCTTGTTCTTTCATGTCACTGAGACTGCTTTCCTGGAATGTCTTTCCCCAGTTTCTGGCTCTAGCAAACTCCATTTGGCCTTTAAAGTCCAGTGCAGATGTTGCCTCCTGACCTCACGCACCTCTCTAACTAGAGAAGAGAGGTGGCCCCTCTCTGATTTGTTCCCTTAACTAGTTGCCCCCAACCCTGGACTAGGAGCTCTGTTGAAACAGATCTAACACTGAGCTCATGCCTCGGTATCCTCAGCCCTCAACACAGCACCTAATTGTGGAAGGTCCTTTGTTCAGGTTTGTGAATGAGTAACTGTCCCTACTGCTTCACCCACAGGGAAATTCGTCCAAGGAAGCAGAGGACCTGTCCACGTCACACAGCAAGTAAGAGTGAAGGCCAGACCCCAGGACTCCTGACTCCCAGCACTGCTGTCTCTAATAACTGCCCCATCTGGGCATGGAACATTTGGAAAAAATGTTCCTGCATCTTTGAGCCTTTCTTAATTAAGTCTTACATTTTATCCCAAAGAAGACTTCTTTGAGACTGCTGGTGGGAAAGTGAGGTTTGGCAGTCCAGTCTGGAAGTCATGAGGCAACAGGGAAAAACAGGCAAACAATCCTGGGATGTATTTTGCTGTTTCAGTCCTTCAAAAACAGCAGAACAAAACACTCAGACCCAAACTGGGGTTCTGGCCAGCAGGGCACTGAATCAACTTGGACAGAATTCACTAAGTGGATCCTCCTCCTTCTTTCCTAAAATGGTGGAGCCTTTGGAGAGGTACTGTTTTCTGGTTTGTCTGGAGTTTCATTAAGGTAAATCAAGCAAACAAACAAACAAACAAACAAACATGTTTCACCAGGCCCCAGAGAATTAAACCATAAACAAGCTCCAGGTACATCTCCTCTTGCTCGGCCATACTGCTGAACAAGTCCTTCATCGCCCAGGATCTGACCATCCTTCACGATGCTGGCAGCCAGGGGGCAGTATCCTCCCTCAGCCCCGTCCTAGGGATTCTGGGCCCCAGCTGCTTCACTGTTTGCAGGGCTGCTGTAATAAATACCTTGGACTTGACTGGGCAGCTTAAATAACAGAAATTTATTTCCCACGGTGCTGGAGATCAAGGTGTTGGCAGGCAGGGTTGGTTTCTCCTGAGGCTTGGCTTGGCTTGCAGATAGCCAGCTCTGTGCCCTGGCTACTTTCCTTACCAGTGGGATGAGGGACGGTGAGTTCAGAAGGAAGTGAGCCTCTGGGGCCTAAATAACCCAAGGGAACGAATACATACAGTTGCAGCAACACTGCTCCATCTGGCTAATGCTGGATTTCATTTCACCTGAGATTATTTCTTTTCTTTTTTTTCCCTTTTGGAAAAATATTCTCTAAAAAAAAAATTTTTAGTGCATGTTTGCAGTACATAATGTTTACATTCCTCTTGTGAAGTTAGTACATGCGCATAATGCATTCTAATTCCTTTTTTCATCCTCTTCCCCCTCCCCTCCCTCCATCTCTTTTTTTATTTTGGTACTGGGGATCAAACTTGGGTCCTTGCACTTGAGCAGCGGGCATCGAAACCACTGAGCTAAACCCCGGCCCCTCCCTCCATCTCTTGATCTCTGCACATTTGAGAAAGATCTCCCTACTTCCTATTATCTTTTAATTTGCTCGACAAAAGTTTATGTTCTACCACATAAGAATAAAAACTATGAATTATAATTGTAAGATACTATCAATTGTTAAGCCTCATTCTGATTTCAGAGATGCTGGAATTTGAAAAATAATGTGTATCTTGGGACTGATGAGAGATAGTACATCCCACTTGTTGACTTTTGGCAGTGAGGATCTACATCAAGGGAACCAGGCAAGGCCATTAGACCTGGTGCCTCAGATTCTGGCTTGCTGCTCAATATCTCAGTTTTATGAAGAGTAGAGTGGTCAAGTGTCATCCTAACTGAGGCTCATCACTGCCAGAACTAGCTAAATCCATGCTTGGGAAACAGATCCAAACATCTGCTTAGACCCTCCCTTGAACTTTTAGTGGACCTTGTAAAATGAGGCCAGAGCTTTGAGTTCTTGCTCCAACCTAGGGATTGAAAGAAGAGAGGCTTGAAAGTAGAGGGCTTTGCATGCTTATGAGAGAGAAAAAGGGCTGGGAGTCAGGGGCTGTTGGTCCTAGCCTTGGTTCCTCTGTCCTTGGACATGGACTAGGCAAGTTCCTCTAGCTCTCTGGTCCCGTTTCCTCAGGGGTAAAGCAGTGAAGCTTAATCACTCATTGAACAAATGTGAGCTGAGACCTTCTCAGCTGAGGTAATGTGCCGAGGGCTGGGGACAGAGAGGCCCCTGCTTCAAGAGAGCTCTGTCCAGTGAGAAGAGAAGGAGCAAGAGAGCAGAGAGGAGGCAGACAGGCCCTCTGTATGCATTTCTCTCCCATCCTTATCATTATTGCCTGAGGTAGGCAACACAGGTATTTGTATCCTGACTTCAGGCGTGAAATTATGGAGACTGAGAAAGATGGTGCTGCTTGCTAAAGTTGCCCAGCAGAGACAGAGCCTGGAGTTGCACTTCTTGCCTCAAAGTCAGTTTTTGTTTGTTTGTTTGTTTTTTTGGTACCAGGGATTGAACTCTGGACCTTGCACTTGGGAGGCAGGCGGTGGAACCACTGAGCTAAATCCCCAGCCCTATCAAAGCATCAGTTTTTTCTCTCCACCTTTGATGGTTGGTTAGTATCTTTCTAGCAAACATTCTTAGATCATCCTGTCTCAAAAAATAGCCATGAATGTCACATTCTGGTAAGTCCCCTCTAGGTTCCCCTCAACAGTGAACAAGGGAGAACCTTTTCTGCTCAAGAATAGGGGAGAGGGTAGGAGGTCTCAGCTCATCTACCCTGGCTTCTCTTCTACAGAGAGGTGCACCACCTTTAAGCCTCACAAAAGCTTTCTGACTACACTCATGGGAAGGTTAGCAGTGTGACCTTCCATCTGAGTGACTCTACTCTGCCTGATCACTTTATCCCAGGAGCATTTAATACAGTCCAGCGTTTCACCCTGGAAAATACAGAAATCACAGGACTGCTCTGTCACTAAGCAACATGTTCACAGCTTTCTGTCACAAGATGAAAGTATGGTAGAAGACATGAAGGGCTAGTCCTGTGCCCCCATGAGTGCCCCCAGCTCTGTCTAGAAGAGATTTTTTTTCTTTTGTTGAGAATAGGGTCTTGCTATGTAGTTCAGGCTGGCCTAAAACTGGCCTCAAACTCATGGCAATCCTCCTGCCTCAGCTTCCTGAGTGCTGGGATTACAGGTGTGAGCCACCACAGCCAGCTAGAAGAGATTTCCAGCTGGTAGAACCCTACTTTACCATGCTACATTTTTCCAAGGAAGCTTTCAGCCTCGAGACAGTGAAAAGGTTTGCTCAAAGTCACCTGGAACATAACTGGAAAAGTGTGGATCAGTTTCTATTTTTTTTGGTCCCGGGGATTGAACTCGGGACCTTGCACTTACGAGGCAGGCGGTGGAACCACTGAGCTAAATCCCTGGCAGGGTCAGAGTTCTGGCACATAGAAGCACCGTTCTGTCCTTGGCCTCACAATTGAGTGGAAATAATCTTAAAGGAGGTCTTGGCCAATTAATTTAAATGACATTTAATTTCATTTAATATTAGCCAAGGGCCTACTATGTGCCAAATGCTATTTTTATATGCAGTGTGACTACAGACAAGTAATTTTATTTTCCTAAACCTCAGTTTCCTCATTTAGGAAAGAAAGCTCTTTCTGTGTGCCTTCTCTCAGAGGGGCCACAAACTTTCAGCCTTACAAAAGCTTTGTGACTATACTCATGGGAGGGTTAGTAGTGTTGTTGCAGAAATATCGGAAAGAAATACACAGAGACACAGAATTCGAATAAAATAATAAAATTTCTTCTTGCGAGTGGGCGGGAACGCCAGAAACAGATCTGGTTACTATCCATGGCCCCCTTCGTTCAGCGTTTCTCTTTTTATATCCTTTTTAGCCATTATCTCATCCCTAGTGGTCTTTGATGTGTAAATACAATTCCAATTCCTATTTACAAGTCACAGACACAGGATAAGCCATATACATTGTAAATTCACCCTGGCATGGTAACTTTGTTAGGTTAATGAAGTTACTGGTTAAAGTCATATAACGTCACCTTAAACAAGGAGTTATGGGAAAAGCAAATCTTAAAAGAACACATTACTTATTTTGCTTCTACAACTACCTTAGCATTCAATCTATTAAGTTATCTAAAACTTTTCCGTATTAGTGTGACCTGCCATTTGAGTGATTCCCCTGTTGAGGGGGATTAAGTAAGGAATAAGTAAGGAAAAGGGAGTAATTTACTTTGTAAATTGTAAAGTGGTATATGATAGGTCTCCCACTACCTCAGCAGCTCTTATGTATAGTAGCTGCCCTCTTCCTATTGTGCCTTGCCCCCTCCGCTGTGTGACGTCATGCCAAGATGGTTGCTCCCACCAAAGAATAAACCCTTCTTCCCAGCATGACCCTGTTCCCGCCTAGAAAGTAACCTAATACTCGCTCACCTCCTACCATCTAGTGATGTCACCCGCTCCTCCATTCCCTAGTCACTACCTCACTCAATCCTGCCTCAGCCCCTACAAACCCCACCCCAGTCTCTATAAAAGACTCTCCCTGCTCCAGCCATATTGTTTTTGTCTCTCCTTTGTTCAGAGACAGCCTGGCAGATCTACTCCCTTAATAAAGGCTTGTTGTGGCCTGGTCTGGTCTTGGTTTTCGGCCCTTTTACCTGACAGTATATACATTGAGGGGCTATTATTAAAGCTGGCCATCCTATCTTTGTGAGCCACTCTGTCTAGAGCCACCATAGCACTGGGCACCATATCGAGATTTGCTTACCTGTCTCTCTTCTCTACCACCCTGCCAAGGGAGGAATGTGCAGAGTTCATTTGTGTAGAGTTCATTTCCCAGAGGGCGTCCCTGGGCCTGGCAGATGGCAGGTTCTTAACAGAGTGTGCAAATGTCTTAGTCCATCCTTGCTGCTAAAACAAAATACAGTAAGTTGAGTTCCTTAAAAGAGAAAATTGAGGGCCAGGGATTTAGCTCAGTGGTTCCGCTGCCTGTCCCGCAAACACAAGGACCCAAGTTCGATCCCTGGTACCAAAAAAAAAACAGAAAAAAGAAAAAATTATTATTTTTTCTTGGTTACTGGGAATCAAACCCTAGCACAGACTACACTGGAGTTACACCTCCAGGCCCTAAACAATAGTTTATTTCTCATAGTTTTTGAAGGCAATAAGTCCAAGATCAAGGCACACGAAGATTTGTTGTCTATTGAGACCGTGTATTAGTCAGCTTTCTATTTCACTGTAACAAAAGGCCTATCATAGGCTACTTACAAAGTAAAGTGAGTTTTATTTTTGTTCCTGGTTCTGGAGGTTCTGGTCCAAGATTGAGTGGCTCCACCGGTTTGGGTCTCTGTGGGGGTAGCACATCATGGCAGAATCATACGTTAGAGCAAGGACTCATGTCTTAAGCCAGGAAGCAGAGAGAGAAGGGGAGAGACTGGAGTCCCACAATCTCCTTTGAGGCCTGTTTCCAATGAGATGGTAGGACCCACCCTTTAAAATTTCTACCACTTCCAAATGGCACTACCCTAGGGACCAAGCCTTTAGCACATGGACCTTTAGGGATCGCTCAGCACCTAAATTATAGCAGTTGGTTTCCTGGCTCATAAAGGAGCATCTTTTCATTGCATCCCTCCTGGTGGAAATGACAAGGGAACTCTCTGGACTCTCTTTTATAAGGGCACTAATCTCATTCAGGAGGGCTCCACCCTCAACCCAGTCTCCTCCCAAAGGCACCACCTTCAAATCCTATCACATTGAAGGTTAGGTTTCAACATAGGAATTTTAGGAGGACATAAACATTCAGTCTATAAACAGAACACGTAATGAGATCTGTTTTTTTCACACCCAAGTAGATGCCAACTCTGGGAGGTGGAAGAGCTCAGTGAAAGGGCCTGTGAGAGATAGGGAGAGTGTCCACTGTGGATGGACAGGATGTGAGTCACTGGAGAGGAGAGAGTAAAACTCTCCAAGTGGTGTGAATGGTTTGGGCAAAGGCCAGAAGGTAGAAACCTCCATGGACTATGTGGGAGACACTGAGGGAGTAGGCAAGTGGAAGAGCAGTGAAAAACGAGGACATAAAGTCATCATCATGATAGTAATAATAGGAGAAATTTTTCTTTTTTTGGTACCAGGGATCAAACTCGGGACCTTCCACTTGTGAGGTAGGCGGCAGAACCACTGAGCTAACTCCCCGGCCTTCATGATAGTAATAATTTTCAACAGTTAGTACCTACTGTTTTCCAGGCACTATCCAAAAGCTATAAAGTATTACTTATCAAACCCTTACAACAGCTCTATGCAGTGCATTCTGCTATGGTTTTTTGTTTGTTTGTTTTTGGGTTTTGTTTTTTTTTTGAGACAGGGTCTTATTTTGTAGTTCAGGCTGGCCCTGAACTCACTATGTAGCCCAGGCTATCCTGGAACTCATGGCCATCCTCCTGCCTCTGCCTCCCAGTGCTGGTATCACAGGCATCTGCTACCATGCCCAGCTGTTATCTGTTCTTTACAGATGACAAACTGAGAGGTTAAGCAACTTGATGAAGGTTGCTGAGCCCTTAAGTAGCAAAGCTGGAATTTGATCCCATGGCTGTCTGAGACCAGAATGTATGCTCTGTTTACCCAGTTTAATAGGGTAATGCCTGTCAAGAGCTAGGAATTTTGGATTTTTTTCCTTGGGCTACAGAAAAAAGTTTGAGCAATAGTTTTGAGCAAGAGGGGATATTATGGGGCCAGAAATGTCTTACATGTCTGGTGCAGAGGTCCCTCAGACATATTGAACACCTTCTGTGTGTGAAGCACTGGGGATACAAAGAGCAAGGGAGAGCCCCTGTTTTTATAAGCATGCACTTAGTTCACTGACAGAGACAGAAGTGTGCTGGAGTGGCTCACTGATCTCAGAGACCATTGTGTCCCTCTCTTCTCAGTTTATCAGTGACATCACTTTGGTGGCTTGAAGCAAACCACAGTGAGCATACTTACACCATGGACATTGGTTCCTGCTGCAAATCAGAGCTCCTCACCCCACCCCCCGCCCCGAGAGCTGGTTGTTGAATATTTACCAGTACCACACTGCCTGTGAACGACTGCAATTGGGTGATTTTTTTGGTACCAGGGATTGAACTCAGGACCTTGCACTTGTGAGGCAGGCGATGTGCCACTGAGCTAAATCCCTGGCCCAGGGTGATAACGTCTTCCATAGGTATAGGACATGGTCTGGAACTGATCCTGCTTGGTGTAGCCATGAAGGCAAGGCTTATGCAGAGTGTTGCTGGATGAGCAGTTTGTTGTGGAGACAAGGTAGTAAAAGGGAGCCCAGATAGACGTGTGAAATGGCATGGTGTATGCTACAGTTCTGTGAAAGGAAACTACAGATGTGAAGGAGTTTCGTGACCTACAAGTTACCAAAGGGTGTTTATTAAGCAAATCTAATACAAGATTTATAAAGTGAACTAATTGGGGTTGGGCAGAGATTACCCCTTTTTTTTTTTAAGCTGGCCTGATCCCTAGAGGATTTTAAATGTGGCTCAGCTGGCCTTTACCCAACTCCCAGTAAAAGGAAACCTAGGTTTTGGAGACAGACCTGGCATAAGAAGAGGAATGGGCCACAACAATCTAGGGTTGCCACCTAACTGGAAAATGCTGACAAAGTCTTTGGAATGTCCTATATATTGTGTATAAAGTGGAGGCCCAGCAAGGTCGGGTATACTAGGCTGAGAGGCACTGCCCAGAAGAGTCAGAGAAAGGCAACGCCAACCTGAAGCTTGTTTTGCCCTCTTTTGTGAAGTCCTCAGTGCTATGGGTGCTCAGTGATCCTCTGAGATCAGCCAGACTTCTCTTCAGGGGCCCTTTCAGTCCCTATATCCCAGACTGGGTAATTGTGTCACCAGATTGTCTCTGCAGTTCTGCTGGTGCCACACTGGCCCTAAGATTCTGGAGGAGACTGAGGGGACTGGATTGTCTGGGAAGATGGAGCTGCCAAAGCCAGGACCCTGCAGGCCTAGAAACCAGCCCAGCTCTCCCTTTGATGAGCCTATTATCAGGTTGTTTTGTTCTGGGAGATGATCACAGGGCCTCGTTTCCCTGCCAACCACCCCTATCAGCCCTGAGCCCCCTGGGATCCAGACAGACACAGCTGGTCAGTGTAAAGAGACTGCCACCCAGGAAAGGGATAGGCTGGTGTTCTGGCCACAGGCTGACCTTGGCTAAGCCCTCATTTGTAGCAGATTATTTTAGGAGTAATTTGTAAAAGGAAGCTAGGATTGGGGTGAACAAATGGGCAGTTACATAAATGCTATAATTTAGGCCACACAGTGGTTTACAAAACCAGGTGGCTGCATCATGGACTGCTGGGCTGTATTGAGTACTGAGGCATAGGCAAGGGGGGACCATGGCCACTCCTGCCCGGAGAGCTCTGGCCCCAAGTAGAACAGGGTCATGAGGCTCAGCCTTTTATAAAAGGGCAAAGGGCCTTTGGTGGTCCTGAGGGTGTGAGGTCACATGGTGTCTGGCCTTCAAGCATGCAGGGACCCTGTTGAGGATAGGCCTCACGAGGTGGTCATACCAAGGTATCTTAGGAGTTCCCTCTAGGACTGACCATTCTTCTACCTGTGTGGGACTATGCCTGGGGCAGGACAGAGAGCTGACAATGCTATGTGCTTGGAATTGCTTCTTCTGCTGGCTTTCACTGGGACAAAGCCCTCAGTGGTATAAAGTTCAGTCTGGGTGCAATGGTTAGTTCTCACCCAGAGTTGGCAGCTCACAAGTAGCACATCCTTGCTGCTCGCCACACTCACTCTGACTCCCTTACTCTTTGGGATGGTACCACCTGTGTACCTTAAGTTTCCTCTTTCTCACGTTTTTGCTGAGTAGATGGCTAATCTCACCTAAGTTGGATGTGAGCACAAAGAGACTTCAGTGAACATACCACCTGTCCCTGTTGTTCCCCCATGCAGTTGGTGAGAATGCACTCATCCTCAATTGCCCTCTCTGCCCGGCCACCATGTTTCTTTTCTTTTTTGTTTGCTGAGATCATAGTGCCCTCCTTGCTTTTTCGGTCAGTATCCAACCTGCCCTCAAGGGCCCTATTGGACCGACTGTAAAGCCCTGAGAAAACTGTACTTTCTCTGTTACCATAGCATGTGTGTGAAGCTCTCAACCTCTTCCAGGCTGTACCCACCTTCTGGACCCACACACTAAATGCCCTGTAAGACGTGTGAAACGGCATGGTGTATGCTACAGTTCTGTGAAAGGAAACTACAGATGTGAAGGAGTTTCATGACCCTCCTGGACTCCGTGTTCCCATAACCACCTCCTGAAAGAGCCAGTTATTGAACTCTGTGTGCCAGGCCCAGCTTGGAATTTCCACATGTACCAACTCATTTAAGGTGCACAGCCCTGGGAGGTGGGGAAGAATAAGGAAGAAGCTCAGCTACTTGGCCAAGGTTACACAGTACACGATGGAGCCAGGATTCAAACCTGAGTCGGCCTAATTCAAGTCTAGGGTTCTAGCCAGGTGTGATGGTACATGCCTGAAATCCTAGCACTCAGGAGGCTGAAACAGAAAGATCATGAGTTCAGGGCCAGCCAGGGTTAAACAATGAGACCCTGTCTCAAAAAAACAAAATAAAACACACCAAAACCAAAGAATTACACACACTATTACACAAGTAGTAATTGTTTATCATTTATTCCACATACATTATTTCATCTGATCCTCACAACAGCCCTGTGAGGTAGGTAGGGTTATGTATTACTGTTATGCCCATTTCACAGATGAAGAAACAGAGGTGGCTCAATGAGGTGAGTGACTTGCATAAAGTCACACAGCGTATTAATGGCTTCACAGGTTCTGTACTTTCTCTAAGACAAGCTGCTTGAATTAGGAAGCACCAAAGAGAGGGAGAAAGGGAAGTTTTATGGAGAGAAAAAAGGACAATGGTGACTGACGAGATTTTTTTCCTCTAATTCTTTTGCTGTGGTCACAACTTCTGCTACCTACTCTGAACTGGATTCTCTTTGAGGGGATTTCCAGAATACCATTGACCTGGTGGCCTGGGACAGCTGTCACAGAGATTCCTGAGTCCTACTGTAGTGAGGGAAAGACCTTTATTGCTTGAAGGACCTTGCCTTGCCCATGGCCCAGAATATAGGTTCCCTGCTCACAGGTTGTCGCCGTGGGGAGCTCCTTGTTTGGTCCACCTTCTGTGGATGCCTGTGTCATCAGGCTCCCTGGTATGTCTGAGGGCCTCTCTCTGGGGGAAGCCATATTCACTCCAGAATCATAATATGCAGTTTGGAGGCCTGTGAGGCTCATCACCTGCTGGGAACTAGTGGCTTGGACTCCTTGTTCTGCATCACACCCCAAGGAGTCCCACGGACTAGTCAGGACAGACAAAACACTGCAAGAGAAGGCCACCTTCTTGAGAGAAGTGTCTTAGGGCTGGACACTTATTCCAAGGGCAGCATGATAGTTCAGGCACCACACATAGGCTCCTTGCTGCAAAATTCCTTCCATGACCCTCTCTTTCCTCTGGATCTCTTCAGGCAGTGAATCTTCATCTCTCAACTGAAAATCGTCAAAAGGCATGCTGAACCATGGCTGGTGTGGAACGTAGATGAAGTGGGGGTGGGGTCACAAATAAGGCAACGCCATAACCAAAGGGGACTGACTTACAGGGTATGGAAAGGACCTAACTTTGGTTCCAAATACAGATCCCAAAGGGGAATCCAAATTCTGAGTCATAATATTTTCAGAGTAAGTGCCTGATCTCTCGAGGTGACTATTTTGAAAGCAAAGATACATATTTGGATGATAAGGAAGGTACGAAACCAATATCTAGCATATAGAAATGGCAGGACAAATTTTTGCTTCATACAGGAAGAACTTTCTAACAGTCAGCACCATCCAACCATGGCAGTGGGGACAGTGAGCTACTTGTTACCAGAGGTCTGCAAATAGGCATAGGAGATCCCCTTGGAGGTACTCAAGCAGAGGTCCTCATCCTCAAATGTGCTGGGGTCTCCTGGGGCTGGGATGGCTAAGCAACCACTGGATTATTTTCTAACCCTGAGAATCTATATTTGTTTAAAAGTAACTGTTTGGGTAATACCTCAGATTTTTAGGAAAAGGATTGCAAAAGTCAAGTAACAGGCTAGATTATGAAGTGCCTTTCTTTTTCTTTTTTTTTTTGGTACCAGGGATCGAACTCAGATCCTTGCACTTGCCAGCAGGTGGCAAAACCACTGAGCTAAATCCCCGCCCCTGAAGAACCTTTCATCACACTGGCTCCAGATACTTTCACACCTTTGCAGGGACAGCAGCCCATTTTAAAATCCAGAAATCCCTAGATTTGGCCCTATCAAGAGAGAAATCCCTAATGTCTAAACCCTGCCTGGATGCTCTCTCTTCTAGGCTCAACTCTTTCCCTGAAAGGGGGCCACTAAAGAGCTCTGGGAATGCACTGCACTCTAAGCCAGCTAAATATAGTCACCCCTGGGCAAATAAGTCCAAGGTCCAAGTCACATCCTGGAGAGGGAAGAGCAAGTGTGAAGGGATCTGCTGGGCACTTTATGTCCCCAGAAACTGAAGGGAACCTCTACTCTCATCCCATTTCCTCTGTTGCCAGGAGGTCTTTTTACAGACGGGTAAATGAGGCACTGGCTAGTGATACAGAGATGAAGCCTGCAAGAAAACTGCTGCTTCCTTGTCCTGGCTACAAAGTCCTCCTGTGGACTCCTCTTGTACACATCAGCTACCTCTTCATTTGTCATAATAAACTGCCCATCTCTAGTTCAAAATGGCAACAAAAAAGTAGTTCTGTTTAGAGGACATGTGGATTCCAAAAGACAGAATTCATCAAAGGGGAATCAAGGCCTGCTATGCAATTAATACGGGTTAGTATAGTACCTGCCTCACATCACTGGTGAGACTCTCCAAGTCCTGGATGACATAGAGCTTCTTGGGAATCCCCTCCCCAATGTGGCTGGGTTTTTTTTTTACCTGTATCGTATTAGTCTAATAATCTTATTGTTCATAAAATCCAGAGCATGTGGGTGAGAAGAATCAATGCAGAAGCCATCACTCAGAGCAATTTTCAGCACTTCCTCTACAAAGACCTGGAAGCTGTTGATCTGCTTGTTGGCAGGCACCACCCAGAGCCTCTTGAGGTTCTGTTTGGTGTACTCTTCCTCTGGCAGGCCCTCCACATTGGCCACCCAGTCCAGAGTCAGGTGGTTGGGGTCCTGCAAGTAGCTGGTGATGGAGGAGAGATTGCCATTGGAGCAGTAGAAGAGCTTGGAACCAAGGAGTTTGAGAAAGAGGCAAGATGTGCTGAAGATGTTGGCATTGAAGACCTCCATGCTGGAGGATGACAGGCTGTAGATCTGCGGTGCCTCACGCACAGTGAAGTGGACTGTCTGTACGCGCTGCTTCAGCGTGATGTTGAGCATGGCGTTCTTCTCTGCCTTAGAGAGCTCTACCTCCTTCTCCTGCAGTGCCTCAATCAGGGGCTGCACCTGGTAGAAGTCAGCCTCTCTTCGAAGCAGGCCCATCTCCTGGAAGTCCTCAGGGAGGTCCAGGTGGGAGGTCCGCAGGAAGTTGAGGATGTAGCGGAACACTTTGCCATCACGGTCAATGAAGCAGTTTCCCTGGCTGTCCCTCTTGGTAGGCATCTTACCACTGAACATGGCACCCAGCATGGAGTCAGGGAAGCTGGTCAGGGTTGCCAGTGAGGTTGTGTACAGCTTCCCCCCAACATTCAATGTAATGGGGTCAGACATGGCAGGAGACTGGGGTGCTAGGAAATAGTCCTAGAGAGGTAGAAAATAAGAAATGATTACTACCTGACCAAATTTGGGTGGTCACAGTTCTTAATTCCTAATTGTAAATCAGGCCTATATTCCCTGGGGTTAAAAATAATTAGTACACAATGAATGGTACTGAATGGTAATGAACTGCTGATAATTGCCACACTGTGTAAAGAACATTAGATTCATTAAGGTAAAAATAAATAAATAAATGAAAAAAAGAACTTGGGCATGGTCATGTGTGCCTGTAACCCCAGCACTGGGGAGAATGGGGCAGGATTATCTCAAGTTCAAGGCCAGCCTGGGCAATTTAGCAAGATCCTTTCTCAAATAAAAAGAAAAATAAAAAGGATTGGGGATGCAGTTCAGTGGTAGATTGCTCTGGATCCAGTTCCCAGTACTGGGAGTGGGGGTGGCAGGGAGGAAGGGGAAAGGAAAAGAAAAAGAGGAAAAAGCCTGGGTCTCACTCCCCTAGAGAGTCTATTTTAATTGGTCTGGAACATGGCTCCAGCACTGGTATTTTTTGGGAATCCAAGTTTTTTTTTTTTTGGGTACTGGGGGTCCTTGCGCTTGCACAGCAGTCAGCGAAACCACTGAGCTAAATCCCCAGCCCTAGCACTGGTATTTTTAAAAAGCTCCCCTGGTGATTCTAAATATTCAATGAGCATAGTCACTGGTCTAAAGGAGGAAAGGAAATGTGCCTGGGCTGAAAGCTACCCTGCATGCTTATAAACATTCTTGTGTACATAATAATCATAGTGTCTTTGACATAAAAATACCATCATCCACCCCTGTAGTGCAGATGAGGAAAACTGTGCTAGGATTCATTCTCTTCACCCAGAGAGGTGAAATGACTTGGCAGTATTCAAACTCACATCCTTTTTTATGAATGAAAGATGTGTAAAGGCTTACTAGCCAAAGACTGGTACAGTCTATATAACAAAAGCTTTGAGATTTATGACTACACACCCAGTACTCTTATCATACCAATGCTATTTCTGAAAAAAATATATATATTTTTTGTAGTTCTGGGGATCCATTCCAGGGCTTCACACATGCTAGGCAAATGTTCTACCACTGAGCTACATCCTCAGCCCTGAATTTAATTATTTTTTTCTTGCAAAGAATTTATAATGAATAGCTGTGATTAGTGTTATTTCCATCTATCTAGCAGACCCACAACTTGGCCTTCTGGCATCCAAATGACTATCTTTTTTGGACTTCCCTACTCCTGTGCCAACTTGCCTTGGTATGAAGATGCTCTTGGCTTCTGGTGGGTAGCCTGTCCTTTCCTATCATAATCCATTTTCCAACGTCCACTGCAGGGTCAGTGCAAATGTAGGACTCTGCCCAGAGCACTGTTCCTGAGGGGTCTCTGCCCTCTCTTTAACAAAGCCCCTCTCCCCCATCTCACAGCTGTTAGCATTTAGGTCTAGTGAATCCCCTTAAACCTGAAATCTTAGATTTCAACTTCTATTTAAGGCTCTAGAAAGCAGAAGCCATACTCTCTCCGCTTCCAACATGATACCTTTCCCATAGCCAGTTGGTAGAATGGATTCAGCAGTTTTACCCTGACTGAAATTAGCTCGGAGCTGCCCTCCAAAAGAGCGCAGGGTAGCCCTACAGGGGTCAAGAGACAGTGAAGGCTCAGTGACAAGACAGATGTACCAAGAGCTGGAAATGAATTTTGACTCACAGAAACATCTTGCTAGGCATATTTACTGTCCAGAAAGGAAACCAGAAGTCTGTGGGGGAGGACTTCCCCAAAGTCAGCCAGCAGAGGTGGCCAGCACACTTACCATGTGTCTGCCTTCTGAAGAGGATAACTGCACTGCGACTCCCTTTCTCCAGAGAAGGGGGCCATGTGGGCCGTGGGAGATGCTCAGCTGTTTTGCCCAACTGCCTGTGGGGGGTGGGGCTTGTGATTCCTTCCCAGTCTAATGGGGCACTTTAATATTTCAAAAAAGGCATTAAGCATCTGGAGTTTGAAGATAAACCCATGATGAAGTTACAAAATTGTTGGCAGATGCCTGGAACAGATGGGCTGCGAGACAGTGTGTGTGGGGTGTCCAACACAGAAGGGTAGGTGGCGTGAAAGGTGTGGCTGCTGGGGTGGCTTTCGGAAGCAGCAGCTGTGGAGCATGTTGGGGTGCTCAGGGCTGAATCAGGCAGAAGCTGGAATTAGGGGTGGGTTAACCCTGACTTATTCCAGAATCTTCTTTTTCCTTTGTTTCCCTTCTCCCAGATTTCTAGTCTTCTCCACCTTATTTTCTTTCTGGATAACTTCTATATTCTAGTTTTTAGTTTCTCTCCTTGAAAAGAAAAGTCAAATATCAGCCCCCCCCCAAAAAAAAAGAAAAACCAAACAAAAAAACAAATAAACACCACACTGGCTTTCAGGCCCAGACTCTGTGAAGTGACTTGGCTCCACAGAAGGAGTGGGCTCAGGGATGAGAGAGGTTGGGCTGCCTCTTCTGACAGTTCTGTAGGCTCCAGACCCAAGCTGCCTAACAGAGTTGTGCTGAAGGGCTGAGGACATCTTGGGAGAGACAGTCAATAGCCTCAGGCATTCCTGGAGATCCTGCCCAAACTCTTATTTGTCTGCTTGAAAAAGCAGCAGAGCATGGTAGAGGCTTTGCTGCCTCTACCATGACATCATGGTACCAGTCATGTGTCTGGGGAGAGCAGCACAGAGTCAGTCAGTAGAGGCAGGCTGGCTAGAAGGCAGGCTTCCTGTCCCTAGTCCCGGGTACTCTCTGTGGTACTTGCCTCACACCTACTGAGTCACAGAACTCAAGTTCTCCAAGGACTTGTGTTCCAGTCACAGGGCCATACTGTCTACCGTCACAAACCCACAGGCCCTGTCATGAAAGGCACAGTGACATGACCCAAGGGTGCAGGAACTGGGGATCCGAGGAGCTTCATGAATGAAGTGGTGATGAATTAACACCACTGAGATACTGCTCCCATGCACTCAGCTGCCTCCTGGTCATCTCAACCTGGATATCCCACAGTTACCTGAGCCTATCAGAATTCTTCTGCCCCTAGCACAGAAACACTCAACTGCCAAAGCACAAAGACCCAGGAGGCAGCCGAGAGTCTTCAGCCCTACACTGTCTTGATTCTTCTTTAGTCTATCCCTAGAGCTACTGGTGGAGCACAGACCCCATCCCTGATCCCTCTGCACCCTACAGCCTCACTTGGTTCCCTGCCTTCTGTCCACTCTCCATTCTGGTCCGCAGACTGATGGTCCTGAAGCACTACTCTCTGCCCAAACCACCCTGCTCTTCCACTTTCACCTCTAACCCTGCCCCTCCACACACTCAAGGTTCTGGCTCTTAAGGCACCACTGAGTTAGCCTCACATTGTTACCTGCCTTGCCTCTGCTTTCCCCATCCCACTCTTTACTACCTTCTCCGCTTTCTCTGCTGTCAGCTTTTAAGGCCTAACCTAGGAGACACTGCCTCCCCGACATTAAAAGCTCTCTTCTTAGGGCTTCCTGGGACTTTGCTCAACCTTCCCTGGCAGCATGCACCCCTCTATCATGATCTGCTTTGCACATGGCCTTCCTCCCTGCTTTATCAAAATGCAGATCACTAGACATCATATGGGGGGAGAAAAGAACCCCAACCCAGCTCTTGCACCTCATATGAAAAATTATCTCACAATGGGTCACAGACCTAAAGGTAAAACCTAATCTATAAAATTTCTAAGAGAAAATACTTGTGACTTTGGGTTAGGTAGGTAAAGACTACTTAGGACAATTTAAAAACAGATGAAGTAGACTTCATCCAAAAACCTCCTGCTCTTCAAAAGATGCTGTTAAGAAAATGAAAGAAAAAAAGTGTAAGTCAGACATAGATTAGGAGAAAATATTTGTCAAACACCCATCTGATAAAGGATTAACCAGAATATATAAATAAGAAAAATCAATTTTAAAAATGGGCAAAGAGTGGGGATATAGCTCCATAGTTCCATAACAAAGTGTATCAGCACAATTTTTAAAAAATGAGTAAAAGATCTGAATATATACCTCACCAAAGAAGATATAAAGATGACAAACACATTCCAAGAGTGGTTGCTTCTTTGTGAGTTGTCCTTTGCAGTTACTTTCTTCCCCTTTGCTTAGCATTCTAAATTCTAAAGAAAAGTTGCACCTAAATGATTAAGATGTTAACGGCTGAATGATTTTAGATTTAAGGAACCCAGACCATCTCATAAAGATCAAATTATATCAGAAAACATAAGATGAAGTTTAACTTGTAGCAAGGTAACATTTGTCTAAAGAATTGTAGGAAATAGCCATAGAAGATTGAGGTCCATTGCAAAGTTCTGGCCTGAGAAAAAGACCCACGCCCTGCATGACAAAGACCCCTACTCAGCACATAGCCTTTCTGTCCACCTTCTCACATTACCTCCTTCCCTCTCTATAGGAGCCCTTTCCTGTATCTGAGTTCCCCAAGATAGTATTCCTCTTGGAGATGACAGCTCTTCCCCACATGTCTTCTTAGGGTACTGGCCCTTGAATAAACTCATTGGCTTTTAAGTGGTACATAGATGTATCTTGAAATGGCACAACATGAAAAGATGTTCAAAATTACTCACCAGGGGTATGAAAATTAAAACCATGATTAGATACCACCAAATACCTATGAAAATGGCTCATATAAAAATCTGACAATGCCATGTATAGCGGTACAAGCTTGTAATCCTAGCTACTTAGGAGGCTGAAGCAGAAAGATTGCAAATTGGAGGTCAGCCCTGGAAACTCAACAAGACCCTGTCTCAAAATAAAAAGAATTGAAAAGTGCTGGGGTTATAGGTCAGTAGTAGACCATCTTCCCAGGATACACAAGGCCCTGGGTTGGATCTCCAGTACTGCAAAAGGGAAAAGAAAAACAAAAACAAAACTGACAATTCCAAATGCTGGTGAGTACACAGCTACAGAAACTGATACACCACTCATGAGAATGCAAAATGGTTCTACCACTGTGGAAAAACCACCACCTGACCAACTGGCCTCCCCCATATTTATCCCAGAGAAATGAAGATATATGTCCTTGTGAAAGCCTCTATGTGAATGTTTTTTTTTGAACCAGGGATCAAACTCGGGACCTTGTGCTTGTGAGGCAGGCACTGGAACCACTGAGCTAAATCCCCAGCCCTCTATGTGAATGTTTATAGCAGTTTTATTGATAATTGTTCAACCTGGAAACTAAAATGTACATAGATAAATTGAGGTATATTCATACAAGAGAATATGACTGAGCAAAATATTATATATTGTATATTATGTATTACATAAATGTATACATTCACCACATAGATGAATTTCAAAAGCATTACCTTAAGTGAAAGAAGCCACCTCAGAAATTTTCACATTACATGATTCTGCTCATATAATATTCTGGAAAAGGCAAAAGGAGCTGGATTGAGGAGAATATACTGGCTACAAAGATTCCCAAGGAAATATTTTGGAGTGACGGAAATATTGCATATTTTGATGTAATGGTGATTAAATGACTATAACGATTGCCAAAGTTCATACATATCTAAGAAGGATGAGATCTACTGTATGTAAATTTTTTCTCCATAAACTGGAGAAAAATGAAGGTTGTGACTTATTGAGCCATGAAATCAACAGTGAGTTGTGATATATTGCTGTGAAACTTGTTTTAGTTGCGTGTATGTATGTGTGTGAACTGGATCATGATTAAAAGTGTATCTTCACACTGTGGGCTGTGATTGTACAGGAGAAAAGAAATATTCTACCCTCAATGCTAGATGATTGAGTCTATGAAAAAATGTGACAGTAGACTAACAAGAGAAAAAACCATTTCAATTATGAGCATATGCACAAGAGTCCCACAAAATAGGAGATGGGAAGAAGGGTCAGATGACTGAATTCTTTATAGCACTCTGAGCAATAGAAAATATGGGCTTTGGTCTTCTGGTGGAGGAGTGGCCTCCCAAGTTGGGGAAGAGAATTAGATGAAGAATAAAGGTTGTATTGTTATGCAGATAAAAACTCTGGTAATAAAAGTTGTCTTGGGCCAGGGATTTAGCTCAGTGGTTCCGGTGCCTGCCTCACAAGTGCAAGGTCCAGAGTTTGATCCCTGGTACCAAAAAGAAAAAAAAAAAGTTGTCTAGGAGCAGCCCCATGATAATGTCCGAGTGTGGTATCCTTTACTCTCTTCAGTGATTCAGTTAATCTTCCCTGGTTGCTGCGATTTTTGGGTAGGGATGCATGATAATTCCTCCTGTTTTTAGTCAGATGAAGGATTTTCAAAAAGCCCCTCCCCGCCCTTCAGTGGAAAAAAGGGGAGGGGGTAAGAGAAAGATAAGGGTTAGAGAAACCTTGGCCCCCTACTTCCATACTGGGGAATGAACTCAGGGCCTTCATGCTTGAACTACATCTCCAGACCTTTTTAGTTTTGTATTTTAAGACAGAGTCTTGCTAAACTGATATGTCTCATGTGTACACATTCACTGTACGCACAGTGGGTGCTGGTGGCACTTCAAGAAGGGGCTATGTGCTACTGTGATATAATTAATAAATACTACATACATTCTGGTCTTTGTTTCCAGCTTTCAGCCAGGGTTCCTAAAATTCTTTTTTTTTTTTTTTGAACTGGGGATTGAACTCAGGACCTGGAGTTTGCAAGGCAGGTGCAGCGCCATGGAGCTAAATCCCTGGCCCTTGTATTTTCACAAGTGATAAAAGCCACAGAAACTTCTTTTGTTAATAACTATTTTTGTTTTGTATGGGGAATCAAACTCGGCCTCGAATTTTCCATGCAGGTTCTATGCCGCTGAGCTATATCCTGGGCCCTAATAATTGGTTTTTGTCCCCAGTTCCAGAAATAAAGGTGAAAGGAGCATCTTTTGTTATTTGTAACAAATGCTGTCACAGCTGAGTTTGTTAGAGATGACTTGGAAAGCTCTTAAAGCTAGGGCCTGGTTGCCAGAGGGGATTAGAGGGTTGGAACTTTCACTCCTCACCTCCAGGGAGGGAAAAGGATTGCAGATTGACTTAATCACTATTATCTGATTCAATCAATGGCATCTATACAATGAAGTCTCCATAAAAAGCCAAAAAGAGGGCCCAGTATTTAGCTCAGTGGTTCTGCTGCCTGCCTCACAAGCGCAAGGTCCTGAGTTTGATCCCTAGTACCAAAAAAAAAAAAGCCAAAAAGAGAGGCTTTGGAGAACTTCCAAACTGGTAAACACATGGAGGTATCGGGAGGGTGCTGCACCCAGAGGCATGAAAGCAGTGCACCCCTTTCCACGCACCTTGCCTTATGCAGTTCCTCCATCCAGGTGTTCTGAGTTGCATCATAATCAATCAGTAATCTAATGAGCAAACTGTCTTCCTGAGTTCTGTGAGGCCATTTCTGTTAATCACTGAGCCTAAGGAGGGACTACCAGGAACCTCAGATTTACAGCCGGCTGGCCAGAAGCACAGGGGACATCCTAGACTTGGTGTCTGAAGTGGCAGCAGTCTTGTGGGACTGAGCTAGTGGGTTCCGCGCTAAATCCAAAAGGACAGTGTCAGAGAGTTAGTAGATGTGGGGGGGGGGAAGCTCTACACATTAGGTGCTGGTTAATTTTGGGGGCTGAGGGTGTAGCTCAATGGTAGAGCACTTGCCTAGCATGTGTGAGACCACGGGTTCCATCCCCATAGTGCAAAAAAAAAAAAAAAAGTTGAGAAGGGAATGAGTATCTCTTTAGCCCTTTACTACAGTTGAGGCCTTTATACTCATCAGTTTGTTTTTGCTACATGTATTCTTTTTAACTGAAGAATGACTCAACTTTAAGCACAAAAATACACTGATTTTAAGTGTGCATTTAAAAAAATATATGTACCTATATCAGTTTATAGCAGCAAAACTACTACCCACTGAACTTATATTTGAATGCCATGAAGACTTTTTTATATTTTGGTGATAAAAACTTTCACAAGTATCCAGGCAGAGAAAGTAGGTTACCTGTAAGGGGCAAAATTCAAGATTACCTCAGATTTTTCTCTTGCAGTTCTAGATACTAGAAGACAATGCAACAATATCTATAGGGTTTTAAGAGAAAATAATTTTGAACCAAGAATTATATACCCTGCTAACTTATTATTTCATATGAAGGCAATTGGAAGACATTCTCAGATATCCAGGGGTTAAGAAAGTTTATCGACCAAGAATCTTCCCTGAAAAATTTGCTGAATTATTTACTGTAACCAACAGAGAACATGAATTTAAAATAACTATGGAGTAGGGAGGCAACTGTATGAAAGATTTGATGGTAAGCATTAAAACTAGTTAAAAAGCATGAAGACTGTAACAGTTCTTTAAATTCTTAAAATGGATGCTATCACTTTCTCTTACCTAGCAGATGAGGAAACTTACAAAGCTAGCACAGCCTCAAAAAGTTCAAGACTTCCTGAATTAGCCTTCAAATACTGTTCTGCAGTCTTTGGCAAGACAAAAGCTACCATCCGCTGAGCATCAAATAATACCCCTTAGCATTCTATTTTTAAATTTTGGTGCTGGAGATTGAACTCAGGACCTCATGCAGTCACACTCTCTACCATTAGTCTTTCTACCAATAGGCTCTACTCAGATTATTTATTTCAGTGTTGGTGATCAAACCTAGGACCTCATGCTTGCTAGACAAACTCACTACCACTGAGCTAAAAATCACTAGCGTACTTTTAATAAAAATGTATGAAAAAGTACAGGCAATGATTCTGTTGTGCTAAATGCTTTCCATGGATTGTCTCAATGTCTTCACAACCACACTTTGAGAAGTGTACTGTTGGAGTGTAGGATATACCAACCAAAAACATTTGCAAGAGACCAAAAAAGAGACCTCTTGAGCCTACTGCTTATTTTGAGCTGGTTATTTTGAGAAACTGCAGACCCAGGAACAGTTCTGAAAAGCTGCCCTGTCCATCTTTTTATATAAAGGAAACTTTCCTTAGTAAAGGTATCTGTACCAAGAAGAGAGCTACTTTGAGACCACTTTTATGACGTGAGGGATTTATCTGTATACGACCTCATTTAGTCTAACACATTTTCTCCCCTTACCCTCCCACCACCCCAGCACCTGCCCAAATCCTCTTCCTATTGCTCACTGCTGTGTAAAACTCAATCATCTTGGCCTTTCTTTGAGTCTTATACCTGTGGGACATTTGAGTGTGTACTTAAGTAATTAAAATGGGCTTCTCTTTGAATCTGTTTAATTTTTAGCCCAAATAACCTGGTATAAGGAAGCCATTTTCCTTCCTCCCCTATAATACTATTATCCCCTCCATTCTGCGGAAGAGGAAACTGAGGCTCAGAAAAGGTAGACAACTGTTCAAGGTCACATACCAAGTGAGTGGAGGAGCTGGGCTGGGCCTGGGTGTTGAGTCCAACACCTCTGCTCCTTTCCCATTGCACCACAGGACCCCAGGGTGAAATGTAAGAGATGCATACACCCTTTATTCTCTGTTCAGACTATTGAGGTCACTATTGGAGAACAGGAGGACAGGATCCCAGCCTGGGCTAGAGTCATCTATAGCTGACACTGGGTAACACCACTAAGAATTCTAAATATTTGTATTTCAACAGCGACTCATGATGTCTAAATGATTAAGCAGTAAAACGCAAAAAGACAGGTTTTAAAAAGCCAGATTGGAAAAGGTAAATGGGAATGTAAACTGAACCAGGAAGCAGAAGTTAAAAGAATAAATAATTTTTTCTAAAGTAGGAGACTTTCCAAGAGGTAAATCTACAGCTCCAGTCTGTCTCTCACTTGAAAAGAAGCAGGAAAAAGATCAACTCCATCGGCTTCCCTGACAAAAGCCACAGGTGTCAAATCAGGAGATTATAGCACAGGGTTCCTCAGACCACCTGACTGGGCAGGAGACCAAGGGGCCTGTGTCTGGAGTTGTGGCTCCAATGAGAAGGTACGAAGGGGCATTTTCAATCTACAGCCTGAAAATCACCGTTTGCAAACTCTAATTGTGACACAGAAAATAGAAACCTTTGAGAGGAGATGTCCTACAGGAAAGACAGCCAAGATACTGTTCTGGAGAGTCCTACTTTGATTACCCCTGGCACCCTCAGTTCCTGTAGGCCTCATAAGGGGAACAGCTAATAGTAAGTACTTACTGTGTAATAAAACTGATGCTAGGAGCCTTATGTGTACATTAGCATTTTTAAGCCACATAACACTACTTCAAGGAAAAAGCATTATACTACTTTACAAAGGAGAAAGTGAGGCTTGGAGAGGTTAGGTAACTTGCCCAAAGAACGGAAGTAAAGGCACAGCCAGGATGTAAGCTTAGGCCTGACTGCAAAGTCTATACTCTGAACAATGATATTCCTCTGTGGGCATTCAGCAGACAAGGCCCTTGGAAATGGTCCATCACTTAGCTACTCCTAGGTGTTCTCACACCTGCCATCTCATCTTGACTATGATCTACATAAGGCTAGGGGGCAGAGAATCAACGTTTCCTGAGTACCTACCACAGGCCCGAACATTTTCCTGTAGTTTATTTAATTAAAATGACACCCTGATGGTGAAGTTGGTATGATTATCATCCCAGTTTGTAGGAATACAAAATTGAAGTCCAGAGTAGTAAAGGCAGATGCTTAAGATCACAGAGCTAGAGGTGGTAGGAGGCCAGAATTCCAAGTGAAATCTCTCCAAAGTCTATGCACCGATCAGTAACCCAAACTATACTTCACTAAGAAACATAAACTTAACTTAAAGAGACCTGTGGTGCTTTTGAGAGGAAGATAAAAGACATTAAACCTGTTCTGAAAGTCCTCCTGCCTCAGCTCCTGAGTACTGGGGTTATAGGCATGTGCTGCCATGACTGGCTTCCAAAGGTGTATTATCAAAAGATTTAAAAAGTTAAAATCTTAAAGAATTGATGAGCGATGACTTAAAAGAATATCTGAAAAAGAGACACTATCTTAGTATAACGTATTAAATCAGATCACAAGGCAATGATATCTCAAACTGTAGTATTAAAACAATGAAAAAAGAAGGAATTTTGTAAAATATGTATTCAAGAGACTAGTTAAAAAATAATAATTAGCTGAACGTAGTGGCATTCATCTGTAATCTCAGTACTCAGGAGACTAGGTAGGAGGATCACCTTGAGTTTTAGGTCAGCCTGGGCTACATAGTGAGTTACAGACCAGCCTAAACTCCATAGTAAGAACCTGTCTCAAAAAGAAAGGAAGGAAATTGTATCTTGATTTTACAACAACTCTGGGACCCAGGTAGGACAGAGCACATTATCTTTATTTCACAGACAATCTGAACCAGACCTAGAGAGGATCAGTGAATCTCTTGCCCAGGGCCTCATGACCTGAGAGTCAAGGCCTGTGGGAGGTTCCTTTTCAGCACCTTTAGGAGAACAAATATTCTGGAGGCTGCCTGGTCTTCTCCAATCTCAGTATTTAGCAGGAAGCTAAACTCAGCCACAGATACCCAAGCTGACAGCCTGTACATTCACGGAGCCCTAGGGTAGGCTAGGGCTCTTTCTGTACAACATCTTTTTCCTACATTTTGGCCCACTTCTATAATGTACTACCTTACCTCCAGAATGAAACTACTTTCTGTTCTGTCTATCCCTTTTGTGCTGTCAATGAGGACAAGCTATTGTGACAACTGTAAACCTACCAAGTGATGATAATTCATTCTCTCTCATTTCGTGAAGATCTTGGAAATGATATCCAGTAGTATAAACATATCTTGCCATGGATCTTGGTTTCTAGATATCATCTTCTACAAAAGGAAACCAGGGATTCTGGAGAATCTGATGATTCCAGGTCTTTGATTCTAGGTGGGCTTTGGAACTTGGCAGATATCAAAGAAGCAATCAACGACTAAGAAGTTATGTCAAAAGATGTAAGAGTTGGTTTGAAGGCCAAATTTAGGAATATCTGTGTACCAAAATGAATAATAATGGGGGTAGGGATGTAGCCCAGTGGTACAGCACTTGCCAAGCCTGTGTGAAGCCCTGGATTCAAACTCCAGCACTGAAAAAAAAAATGATGATAATTAAAAATAATTAGTGGTCCATAACATTACTGAAAAAGAAGGGGGGGAGAAACAGAAAAAAAATGTATTCTATAAAGAAGAGTACCAAGTAATAAATACAAGAGGAACAACAGAATTAGAAAATTACCAACTTGTGACCCTCAATGTTGTAAATCAGGCAAAGATCATAAAGATCATCATTGGTTGTGGTGTGGGAAGTACTCAGGAACACACAATTCCTATACTTGCAAAGAATCACTCCATAGACTTATGAAAAATTTACTCTTATAATGGAGACATCAGGTTGTCACAATTTTTACTTTTTTTTTTTTGGTACTGGTGATCGAACTCGGGTCCTTGCACTTTCAAGGCAGGCAGCACAATTTTTACTTGTTTATTTAGGTACTGGGGATTGAACTCAGGGCCTTTGCACTGAGATATACCCTCAGTCCTTTTGAAATTTTTTTTTTGTACCAGGGAACCAACTCAGGACCTTGTGCTTGTGAGGCAGGTGCGGTGCTACTGAGCTAAATCCCTCACCTTTGCCCTTTTGAAATTTAGCGACAGGCTCTTACTAAATTGCTCAAGCTGGGGCCCGGGATTTAGCTCAGTGGTTCTGCCGCCTGCCTTGCAAGCACAAGGACCCGAGTTTGATCCCTGGTACCAAAACAAAATAAAACAAAAAAAATTGCTCAGGCTGGTCTCAAACTTGCAATATTCCCTCCTCAGTCTCCTAGAGTGCTGGGATTACAGGCATTCCACCCAGACAGCTTGTCACAATTTTAACCAATAGTCAATTTTGGCATTCACAGATAGTTGGACCCTGATAATGATATGCCTCAGATGTGATGCAATTTAAGTACACCCTGTGGGGAAAAAAAAGCCCCCAAACAAAAATAACCTGAATCTAATCACTGATGAGGGGCTCTATTTAGACCGAATGAGCTGTTCAAAGAGATAAAATGAAATGCAATGTGAATCTTTTTTTTTTTTTCTTTTGGTACCAGGGATCGAATTCAGAACCTCGTGCTTGTGAGACAGGTGCAGTGCCATTGAGCTAAATCCCCGGCCACTGGCTTATATTTTAAAAACGATTTCTATTTTCTTTCTTTTTTTTTTGGTACCAGGGATCGAACTCAGGACCTTGGGCTTGCGAGGCAGGCAGCAGAACCACTGAGGTAAATCTCTGGCCCAACTATCTCTTATTTTCAAAGAAGGAGGAAAGGAAGGAATATTTCCTTCACAGAACCATAGATATAAAGTTCTAGCCAGAGTGCCAGAACTCAATACATTTCCAGACTCAGGAAGTTACAGATTTGTTGTTACAGTACTACTAATAAGTATGAAGAGGTCATAAGTTTCTTCCCCAAATACTGCTGCATTTTGCAGGGTGAGGAAGTCAACCAGGGCTAAGCTAAAATGGCCTAGAGTTGGAGGAATTTTAGAATTTAAAGTTGGGTGGTCTCTCTAGGCTAACTTACCATCCACAGAAACCACACCTGTAGGCCTGCCTGTTTTCCATGCTGGAATCCATGCTGGGAGAAGATAGCTGTGCAGGCCTTGTGTCTTGGGCTCCTCTTAGTCTCTGCTACTACAGCAGGAAGAAAACTCCTATCATGGCTCGCTGAGGATGTTCACAGTGAGGGCCATTTCTGAGTCTCAGAAACACTAGAATGATGGGCAAAAAGAACCAGAGGGAGGGCCGGGGATTTAGCTCAGTGGTTCCTCTGCCTGCCTCACAAGCAGAAGGTCCCAAATTCGATCCCCAGTACCAAAACAAAAAACAAAAAACAAAAAAACACACCAAGAACCAGAGAAGGTTTGTTGGGTAGAGGACAATGCATGGTCTTTGGCTTGAGCTGGCATTTGAATCAGGCTCTGCCACTTACTAGCTGTGTGGCCCATGCCAGTTCCTGGGCAGAGGATCCTGATCGTAACACCAACAACGGCTGTTTATTGAGCAGCTACTATTCTGTTAGGTACTTTAGCCATGTTAATCTCACTGATGAAGTAGATACTATTTTACCCTTACTTTATAGATCAACCATGCCAGGCCCACTCCTACCTCTGCAATTTGGTATCTCTGCCAGGGCTATGAAGGAAAATCTCATTCATCTGCTAGGCCTCTGAGTTGGAATTCACCATTTCCTCTTTATTTTCAGAGCATTTCATTCTTACTTCTTACCACAGCCAACTGCCCTCTCTGTTAGGGCCACGCATGAGACACTCTATCCCCAGAAATAGGAGAAGGAGAAATTTTTTCCCATTTGGTCAGTCCATTTTCACCTACTCCAGACTGTCATCTACTATTAGGAAGATTTGTCACCCTCTCTTAGGTTCTTAGAATTTTTAATTTTTAAATACTGTATTGAATTTTCAATTTGGACCTTACCCACCTGGGGTAACTGAGTTCCCACTGTGTAAGGGAATGCACAGAGCATGGCTGGGTAAATTTCAAGGATGATGACCATGCTCAGAGTGAGTAATGTGTCTTCTAATAATCTGGAGACTTCCTCACCTTATTCAGTTAGCCCAGCAGGAAAAGAACCCGGTTTTAGCTCTGGGACTACGTAGAGGCACTGTCCTTTCACCTCCCTATGCCCAACAGCTGTATCTTTGGTATCGTCATGCCCAGTCACTATCTTTAAGAAGCTCACAGGCTGTTCCATCAGCCCCACAACCCACAGGGTAGGAGAGAAAAGGTGCTTCCTAGATTCAGTTGACACAAGGGACCCTGGAATGAGCAGCCCATTAGGACAGACAGGGACAGGAGAGTCAGAGGAAGAAAGCCCCTTGTTTTGTTTTTGTTTTTTTTTTGAGGCAGGGTCTCCCTTTGTAGTTCATCAAGCTGGCCCTGAACTCACTATGTAGTTGCCCTCAAACTCGCAGCGATCCTCCTGCCTTTGTCTCCCGAGTGCTAGGATTAATTTCCTATGTCCTTCCTACTCTTCCCCACAACGATAATTTATAAACAAAAAGCTTTCAAATCTCCTTTTATCCTCATAATACCACAGAAGAGCTGCTTTACAGTGCGGTGTTCAGAAGAGTTGAGGGAACTGGTTCTTTTGTACAACCTGCAAAGGGCAGGGCATCCATTCTTTATGTTCTGTTCCTTTGAGACAGAGTCTCACTATATAGTCCAGAATGGCCTTGAATGCTATGTAGCCCAGGCCGGCTTCAAACTCCTGATCCTTCTGCCTCAGCTGGGAATACAGGCGCGCACCACCACGCCCAGTAAGGCATCGACACTTTTGTTTCTTTCCTGGCACTCCAGATCAACCTCTGCCTCCCCAGAGTGCAGGGAAAAAAGCAGGGTCTTTGAAGCAGAGTCCTGAATGGTCTGGGGTAACTCACTTCACTTCTCCCCAGGGTTCCTCACCTGTAAACAGATAGGTGACGCCTTTACTTTACAGGGTGTGAGTTGAATGAGATCATGTGTATGACGCACGGAGCTCAAGGGATGGCCTCTTTTATTTCTAGTAATAAGGAGAAGACTGCTCTGTGGCCCTGCCCACACAGCAACAGCGCCGCGCACGCTGGGCTCTTCAGAGCTGGGAGGGGTCCCTTTCATCCTCGAGTCCCCTTCCTTCCCTTCTTCCCCAAGCCTCTCTACTCAGTCCAACCCAGGCTAAAACTCCTTAGCTCTGGAACGCCTTCCAAGCTGACAGGAAGCACGAGGGCCTCTTCTGGCCTACAGAACTCGCCCCTCCTGGCCCTGCCAGACTCCTCCCACAGTCCCGACCCTCAGGATCCGGGCTTTTCCCACCACTGCATCCGTCTGGCCCCTCCTACCAGCTCCGCTCCTCTGACAGCCCGGCCTCCTCCTGCTCCCCTCTCTCCGAAACGCACCCCCTCCCCCGCAGCCACAGGCGTGGCCATCCCCACTTCACAGATGAGAATGACAAGGCTAGGGTAGGAGACCTTTCACTTTAGGACAGATGCCCCTAAGGGCCCGCGTCCTCACCAATAGGTCCCGAGCCCTCCCCCACCCCCTTCGCCCCGGGCCGCGCCGCACCCACCTCCTGCCCTCGCTGTGCAACCTCCCCTTCGCCCGCGGCCAGTGCAGCTTTGCGAGGGGGCGGAGGGCCAAAGCCCAGCCCAGGGGCGTGGTGGCCCGGGGTCTGCGCGCTGCTCTTGGGACTTGTAGTTCTCTTAGGGCTTTATGTAGCCCAGTACACTGAAGGTGAACTCCATCTCCCAGGAAGCATTGCGGAGGACCCTCTGCTTTCCCCCCCCTCCTCCCGCCCCTCCAGCTCAGGCCAGCTGGTTTTAAAGGGGACGCGGACCGAACGAAGGTTCGCGGGGTGGCCCCCGCTCCGGCTCCGCCCCGTTTCCCGCACCTCGTCCCTCCCCCCGTTTCGTCCCGCAGCCTGGCAGCCGCGCCACAGAATCTGAATCCCTGAGTTCATACAGGGTTGTGCAGAGCAGGGTGGAAGGATTGGACTTGCAGTAGAAGCAGCATCCCTGTAGTCTGGGACCTGGAGGAGGACGACCCCACCCTGGGGGGGGGGGCAGTGGACTCGCCCTGACCTAGTCCGGCCCAGCCTAGTTCTTCTGGGTCCGAGCGCCCCGCCCAAGAGCCGGCTCAGAAGTAGGGACCACTGAGATCTGAGAGGTAAGGGGGCTGGGGGTGT